GTCGAAAATTATTTGGAGCGAGGAATCAAAATTTACGGAGGATGGGATTTTCAATGGAAGGAATAAGAATTCTTGGGCTGATCATAATCCTCATATGACAAAATAAATGGGTATTCAAGTAGCATCTGACCTGAGCGTTCTCTGTATTTTGAAAAATAATAAAATCAGCTTTTTCATTCACGATGGCACACCGCATGTTGAGAGATATTTGCCAATATTGAGGACAACTGTTACAGATTTCCTGGAAATTTTGCCACTAGAGGAATATGTGAATTCATGGTTCCATCTGGACGGGGGGCCAGCTCATTCAACTCAGGAAGTTTCCAGGAAACTTTACGAAATGTTTGACGATCGTTGGTTTGGCCGTTTAGATCTGTGGGACTGGCCACCCAGATCACCTGATCTCACACCGCTTGACTTTTTTATGGGGTGTTTAAAAAAAAAGGGTGTACATTGCTCCAGTGCCTACCAAAAAAGAACTGCGACGACGAAAAGTGTGGTGTACTGAAAGATCTGGATCCACCTTCATAATGCAACCACGAGTCGCGTACGAAAGCATATTTCAAAATGTTTGGAATGTAATGGACAACATTTCGACCATTTATTATGAAAATATGTTAGTTTGTTTATACTTTCGTCACTTTCGTTTCTCTGTTATTTTTTGTACTTCCACAGTGAATTTAGCTTTTTACCAAGATATGCTAGAAACGCTGATTTTTGATAGAGTTGTTGGAAACTTTGAGCCATAGTTGAAAAAATTATTTTGTATTCTTACAAACCTCCCCTCGTTCATTGGTGTCAATGCAGGATACCTTTGGTAGCATTTTTCGCAAGCTCTGGCAATGATTTAATCACATTGTCCGTGTATAATAAATGACTTCATGAGAACTTTATTTGAATAATCGATATTTGCATTCATTCTGGGAGATTTTTTGGAACACTTTCAATAAGAATTGATGAATTACTATCATTAATGTCACCGAACTGTCATGAGTTTGATATTTCTATGGCTATATAAAATTAACTTCTTCATAAAATTATATTTTTCACAAAAAGGAAAACTTGATGATCTAGGTATAGGAACATGCTATGTCATCTTGTAGCATTTTTCTTCGTCCTTTAATTTATTGAGTAAAAAACAGTGGGTTCCATTTGAAAAAATGAACTTTTGACCACTTGTATGAACGTTCTCCATAAACGACTAACCTTCCATCGACCGTGAGTTACCCTGTCTACTAAACTATTCTTCCTGGACACTTATTTCTTCCTGCAAGACCATTCGAATTATCTATATTTCGAAATAATCCAACAGAATAATAAGTAGAAGTTATACAACTGGTAAACCTCTCAGGTCAAGAATGGATAAGGGAATAATTCATCACCCTCCAGGTCCTAATTCTCAAGGAAATATATATATCATATGATTTTAGATAATCGAATGAAAAAAAATGCACTCGACATTATGTCCCTCTTGTCTCATCAAATTTCGAAAAAATGTTTATTCGACTTCGACAGTTGCTTTTATTCATATCAGTATCATTTTGTGATATGTGTATACTTGACAAATGATGCTCCTTCTACTCAGTTCTCTTAGAGTAAGTATTCGAGTTATTTACATCAATTCGTTTTATATGAATGTCCTTGCCTCTAGCGATAAACCTACTACTAATTTTTCCAGCACGTATCTACTAGACGACCGTCGAGACCTTTCCAAAAATAAATAGTGACTGATTAGAAGTGAAGAACCTCTTGATGGTCAACCAGCCAGAAACATCTACTTCTCACGTGAATTGGTTTATGCGTCACCTCTACTACGTTGTTTCATTGTTTGTTTCAAGAACTGATATATACTATGAAGGAATTTACACCCAACACCAACGTATTTTTTTTTTTAGTCCTGATTTCTACTAAAATAGGTTGTACCATTAATTTGCTTCGAGAACACCTTGGTAGACCCTAATAACAGGCTATTTAACTGGTATGTCCAAATATCCTAATGTTTCGGTACAATATACCAGAAACATACCTTTTCATCTTTTTTCAAGGAAAAAATGTTTGCTTGATAGGTACCTACCTATATTATCTAATTGATTGATTTGGTTCAACATCAAATCAAAATAACTACTGTATATTTACAATAAGATAACCTTCAGATATGAGTCCTAAACTTCATTACCTATAAACAGTGTTATCGAAATACATACATTCTAAGAAGGCTCAAGGCCAAAATAGTATTTGGGGGATGACCCCTTTTTTCACCCAAAAATCTACTCATCTACTGTCGCTGATGGAAGGCATATAAAATAAGGGGATAAAACTAAAACTAAGCGACGATACCAGAGTTCAAAGAAATGGTAATAATAATTTTGATTTCTACTAAAAAGAGGGCATTTCTTAGGTCTTGGAAGAATCACGTTGAATTGGTTTTGAATGAGATATTATCACTAATGAAAAAGAATCCAAGTAAACACGACGAAATGATCGACAACTACTAAAGAGCAACTACTGGTCTCCAACACAATGGATTAAAAGGAACTACAGACAGCTGAACTTCAAATTCGGATTAACTCAAAAGCATCGCACAGAAGCCTGAAAGCTCATGAAGAGAAATACTAGTCACAGACACTGAATTGGTCGAAACTGTAATGAAAATTTGAAGGTCAGAAATCTTCCCATTTTATCACATCCCAACACTATATTGGAATGGGCATTCGCTCATGGAAAGTCTGACAATGCTATTCCTAGTCAACACAGATAATGATGACAGGGATACTCATTCGATAAACTGTGATATGAGACGACTCCCCATTCAAAATCTAAATTGATCTTTTTTTATCGCTTGGAGCGCACGAAAGGGAATCCCTATAATGTTAAAAAAACATCGTGCGTTCCTAGGGAGGATAGGGACAGGAGGTAGGTATTGGATTTTTTTTTTAACTTTTGGAGATTATATGTTGCTAGGAACACTTCCACAGGCAATGAATTCCAGAGCCCAGCCGTTCTATGGATGAAGGAGTCTTGATAAAGTGCTGTTCGGTTTGTTACATGATTAGACAAGAATGTGAGATTCCAGTGAGTCTCTTGGTTGTTAGGGAGCCTCACAAATTCACCTATATTTTAAGTCTCAAATCCGATAAAATGTCTATGGCAGATTGTGAAAAAAATCGAAGGAACAAACATAACCACCACCAATGAATTGAAAATATCAGGTGACCCATATACAGTCAATAACAAATTCAACAATCAATAATAAAAAAGTGACTACTGCATACAATTATAATATATCAATGGACATCTTTCTAGATGTGTCGAAAGCTTCTGACAGTCTGAATCATGAATATATCTTAAACAAGATGGAGAGAGATAGTAACTATGAGTTCTAGCTCATGACTGGATAAAGTCTTACCTAACCCAAAGTGAAAAAAAACTTGTTATAAATTGCCAGAGAATTGGATTTTGCTCATAGGAAATTACGACAGTGATATGTGTCCCTCATGGTAGTATAATGGGCCCTTTGTTATTCATAGTTTACATAAACGATTCAGCCTTAGATAATGAAAATAATAAATTTAATAATCTTGTAAATTCTGTGGACGACACAAACATTTTAACAGTAGGTTGGTCATTGAACAATCTTCCAGACATCTCGGTGGAAAAAAGGCATAGGAATGATACTAAACAAAGATGAAACGAATTATATTTGCTTTCCAACTAAACTGAAAAACAATACCATACCTGAGACACTTCAAGTACAAATACAGACAATAAAACATTGCAGAACACACAAAATTTCTCGATGTATACATTGACCAATATTCAAATTTCTGAAAACATATTAAGGAAACCGGCACTAAATTGTCAAGTATAAAAGTATATGCTATATGCATTTAGGGTGACATTGACATATTTGGATGATGAAGCAAAGCGAACCATTTATTTTTCGAATTTCCACTCAGTGATGCGTTTAGGCATCATCTTCTGAGGGGGAAATAGCCTGACAGAGAGTATTTTTGAGAAAAGTACAAAAAAGCCACAAGGATTTTGCTACGTCTCAACTAAAATGAATGATGTATAGGTAAATTCAAAAAATGCAATACAATGACCATGTCAGCAACCTATATTTATAAATTCTTAATGTTTCTATTTGAAAATCGAAATAAATTCGAATTTCATACAGAGGAAACCATAGCAACGAGTATAATATCCCAATTCACAGACTGTCATCAACAGCAAAGACTCCAGAGTATACATGTATCTGGTTTTTTAATAAATTAACAACAACAGTCAAACAAGAGGTTAACAAGTCTTCAAGAGACTAATAATCAATATCATCGTGGATCTAGAACCATAATCTTTTAAAGAATATATGGAGGAATAGTAGATATTCTTACTAAGCGATCCTGCAATCCAAAGGAGACAAACATGTTTTTTATACAACTTAATTCATTTTACTATGATTTCAATATTTTGATTCATGAAAAAACTTCAATGTTTCATTATTGATTCAAGCAATTGTACCTGACACTATTTTCTTCAATTTTGATAACTGTGATGATATATGTTTATAAAGTTATGTCACTGTGATTGTCATGCTCGAAAATTAAGCCATGCCCTTTTATTTATTTTCCACCGAACCGCGCCACAGATACAAGAGATCAGGGTTGGTAGAACTGATAAATATACTACTTATATTCGTGTCAATGTAAGAATTGGTCGTGAAGATCCACATTGAGAGTAAAAAAAACGTAAGACGGCTTACGTTTTTCGATAACTTGAGGTTTTCTATTAGTTCAAATATTTTACATAATTTTTTTCGAAAATTTTCGATAAAACAGGCCATAACTTTTATGCCTATCCGGCAAAAAATTGGAATTTTCGTCTTTGACACTGAGATCACGATTTAGTAGCGCCAACTGGTTAGAGTGAAATTGTTAGCCCCAGCTCAGCTCAGCATGGACAAATAAGCCTTAAAATATGTAACTCCAATTTTTTGTTTTAAGGTCTTATTTGCGCTGAAGGTGATCTATGGAGAGAACACAGAAGATTCATACACAATTGTCTCAGACAACTAGGAGGTACCAAGACGGGACATAGACGAAGTAAGATGGAAAGTCTTATAATGAAGCATGTAAACGAACTCTTGATGGTGAATTTCAATAATTATCATGAAGAAGTAATTTTCCGGTAATTTCAAATGTACTTTTAGTGCTTCTCGAAAAATGCAGGTGTTAGTATCGATCCTTTAGAATCTCTGCGACATTCTTTGGGTTCTGCAATCAATTCGATAGTTTTTGGCAAATCTTGGTCCAAAGACGATGAGGAATGGATATGGTTGCAAGATATGCAAGAAGAGGGTACCAAGCAAATAGGCATTGCAGGTCCATTGAATTTTTTGCCATTCCTCAGGTATTGTTCAAGCTCAATGTATTATTTTGATGATATTCATCAGAAAAATTTCAGATTCCTTCCGAGATACCGGCAAACGATGGATTTTCTTCTTAAGGGAAAGCATGAGACTCATAAAGTCTATCAGAAAATTATAGCACAGCGCCAACAAAATGATTTCGGTGACGCAAATAGATTTGTTGAAAACATTCTAGAAGCTTTCCTTCTAGAGAAGTCGAAAAAAAGTGAGAAAGAAGCTTCCCTGTTCTACAATGATCAACAATTTTATCATCTACTAGCAGATATATTTGGTGCTGGGTTAGATACAACTCTTACCACCCTACGGTAAGATATCATGAAAAGTGGAAACCTTCCATTCCACCAAATTTCATATGGAAAATAGTTTTGCACAAGTTGATAGTATCTTGGAGACATCGCTCTAGTACGAAGTTGAGGATTTCAAGAGTATTTTGAAGAAGGGCGCTCCTAAGATGAATTTGTAGGGGGGTAATAGTCATTTTGTAATATTTTTCTAACTAGGTACCTCTTGAGTATGTTATATTCAATTTGCTCTTTGTTTCATTGTTGTCTTGAGAACCGCTCCACAGTATCTAATTTTTCATTGCACGCAATGGATTTCTGCTAGCTGCAATTAATATTTACGGCAAGAATAATATGCAGGCTATTTTCACTGAATCATAATGTCCAATTTGCAATGTCATTTTGTTGAAAAATGTGTTTTCTGCTTCTCATTAACTTATGATTTGGGTAGAAGAAACAATAAAAACAATTCAATTTGCATCAAATGATAGATAAATATTACATAATTTACCGATGATCAACCAGTTCATCACTAGAATTGCACCAGCAATACGAGATATTGCAACAGCTGCCCAAAAAGACACTAGCGTGACTAGTTTGTTGGCGCACAATGAAAATTATTGCAACTTTTTGAAAAATTGGGTAGGTGCTCTTAAGATTTGAAATTTTTGTAATTTTTTGTTTTTTTTATGAATGTAATTGAAAAAATGGATCTGTCGTTATGCCCGGGGAGGGGGTAATTATTATACCCTTTACCGCACTAGCTTTGAAAGGGATGAAAGTATTTTTTATCTCTTGGAGCGCACGAAAGGAAATTCCTATAATGTTCGTGGAACATCGCTCCTACCTAGGGAGGATAGGAAGAGGAGGTAGGTGTTGAAACGACGAAGGGATATGCTGACTGGGCCTGCCGAGTTCGTTTGACTGGTATTACTAGTGATGGAATAATGGCAGAGATTTTTGAGGAATATTAATTCATGTAGATATTAAATTTGTAGATACAATATTTGTTTCTATACACCGAAGTTATCAAGTGTGATACATTGTTGAAGTTAGAAATTGATTGTCTGTCACAAATCAACAAAAAATATATGGGGTGTAACTTGGATAAGTAAAGTTGGGGGTAGCCTTCCAGGGTTAGTTTGAAAGAAGTTGACTTTGACACAATAGTTTCAAATTCATTTGGGTTTTTCAGAAGTGAAATTTTTCAAAGTTTTTATCCAAACAGCATAAGTACTGAGATATTGGCTGTTTGAAAAAATCTGGGACATCCGGTATATAGTATCTAAGATTCCAGAGGTGCTTGTTACTATAGTGGAGGAATCATTATTGCTTCATCGTCTGATTTTTATTATTTTGGTGAAACTTTATCACAGTAGGTATTGATTTTTTGTGATTTTTTCTCATTGTTTCTGTAAAATTGAAATATGAGTATTAGTATCATTTCAATATGCGTGTAGTAGGACAAGGACAGGAAAATGTCCCTATCAGAGAGCCTCAAACTGTACGAAGACAAAAATAAATACAATGAGAATTCGCATTCTTTATGTGATGGGAATATCTATTCTCCCTCGGTTTATTCAACAAAAAGCAATCACTTTCCTGGCTATATGCCACGACGAACATTGAATTATATCTATTGAATACACACCATGGACGTATAAACAACGATAAGAATTCGAAAACAAAATCTTCTGGAGTTGAGAATGTGTATTACGATAAGAATTTGAAAACAAAATCTTCTGGAGTTGAGAATTTGTATTCTCCATCAAATAAAAATTTGAATATGTACATAATATCATTCTGAATATTCAACAGAAAACAACTACTTTCCTGGCTATTTGCCACGTCGATCATTGAATAATATCTATTGAACATCCAAAAGGAGAGCATATAAAAAATAAAATCCTTCGAAATTGATTGGTTCTAGGTTTATAGAAAGAATCTTCAAACATATGTTGACCCAAGAAAAGAAATCACAACGTGTATTTTTATGCAATATCAAGAGTTTGAAATTTGAACAAGCGGTGAAATTTTTTAAGATCAATTCAATTGAATGGTAATCAAGCAAAAAGGATGTATCACCTCCTCGATTATAACCAAAAGACAGTAGTAGGTATACTAATATACTATTTTTCAACGATGCAGGTGGTACCTTTTGTACATGGCACAAAATCCAACGATTCAAGATAAGATTCGCGATGAAATTCAAGACGTTCTTCAAGGTCGTCCTTTCAATCTGGAGGATATTGCACACTTGCCTCTATTCGAAGCCTCAATTTGTGAATCCCAACGAATTCGTTCAGTTGTACCTGTAGGAATTCCTCACGGAGCAATCGACGATTTGGTAGTAGATCGTTACAGGGTTCCCAAAGGGACTATGATTGTCCCTTTGCAATGGGCCATTCACATGGACGAAAAAATGTGGCCCAATCCCGAAAAGTTCGATCCTTGGAGGTTCATAGATGAGGAAGGAAGGGTCGCCAAACCTGAAAACTTCATTCCATTTCAGCTTGGTAAGACATTTTTGAATTCAATGTGAATATGCATTTAATCGAAAAATAGTATACAGCGTGTCTCACTTTAAACGCCCCCTCCTCTATATCTCAGTTATTAGTCATGCGAATCCAACCAAATTTGGTGTGGTATGAATAACCATCAATATGATCAGTCTCACAGAGTTGCACATTATTTTGGACATTGCCGTTTTTATTGAACTAAAACGGGGTAGATTTTTTTATAAAATCATATCAGGCATTTTTTCACAGAAAATCTAACCTCATATTATTGTTCCTCATGCTTTAGAACCCCCATATACCAAAAATCACCTAATTCCGAATCAACAGGATTGGCTTAATTTTTTTTATTTTCAGTCTCGAATAAATAGTGACTTCAGATCAACTACGAGTTTTGGAACGTTCAATGGCTGCGGTAGATGGAAAATCATGATTTGGAAGGAAAAACGAGTTATACTTTTTTATGTTGAACTCACCGTTTCCGAGTAAATAATTATTACGTTCGCAAAAATGCTGTTTAGATGTGCCTGTTTTTCTGAAACCCTCGATAGGCATCTCCTGAAAATCCACGTATGCGGGTTTGAAACCATGAAGAACAATATTATTAGGTCAGTTTTCCTGTGAAAAAAATGCCTAATATGATTTAATAAAAAACTGACCCCTATTCATTCCAATAAAAAAGAACGGCACTGTCTAAAATTATTTTTCTCTTTGAAGAACTGGTCATATTGATGATAATTCATACCGATACAAATTTGGTGAAGATCGCACGACTGATAACTGAGATATAGAGGGGGGCCGTTTGAAATGAGACACGCTGTACATAATTGTAACATGACATAAAGGTATACATTTTTTTTCATATACCATGCTGTAATACTTCAAAACCATCACCATTTACCCTACAGTTTCATGAAACGTTCAAACATAGCCAGCGTTGGGAATGCTATTACAATTGTACTGAATCTATTACTATTACACCTTGCCTAGTACGCAAATACATCAGATGAAATCTCCATAATCTATCACGTCCTTCGATTCCATCCATAATAATGTAATTTATAATGATGATGTTATCAAGAATATGAGTAGACCAATGAATTTGCATCTGAAAAAGACAATTGAAGTGTCTGAGCTTTTATTCACAATTTACATATCAAACTTTTGATGAATATGATTGTCAACCTTAACGTGCTCAGTGTATAAGAATTCATATTCTATTTCTGTCAGAAGTATATTTATTTGTTTTATTTCACTTTTTCATTATCGACCGAGTTATTCATTCCGTTTGATGTTTATATTGTTTCAAAACTACCCAAATATTCCTATCTTTTTTCATCACATGTCGAATCTAGTTCCATCTATTACAATTGCGTACTAGATTTTACTGCGAAGGATCGCTACTCTCCAGATGACGCTGAATGAAAAGTGTGAATGTGAAATTCTACAAAAAAAAACTGACGACACTTATAAGGTTCTTGTTAATCGAAAAGAGGCGCTGATATCGTCATACTTTTGATGGCCATCGGACCAAATAACAACAATCACTTATAATGGTGTAAGTAGGGTCATTTTTGATAGTGTTTACTGAGATTCTTTATGCACTTCAGGGATTCAAAGAGTACCTTTTTTCCCTATTTCCAGGGAAAAAAGTGGTACTGCAAATTTCCCTCAAATCAAATCTAAATCTAGGAATGTATTTTCAAAATGTCTGTTGCGATTGTGGCTTTTATCATCGAATATACGCTCCACAATGACGATGATTGAGCTTTTTTGCCTTTTCAAAAAATATGCTAGCAGTACCTTTCATTCTGTACATACAGTTTTCTACGTTCCGTTCTTTGCACCATTTGATAAACTCAGGTAACTGTTGTGTTCTCCACCTCAGTGAAATATTAATCGTTAACAATTTACCTGTTTTCTTTTAGGTAAGCGTATGTGTGTTGGGGATGAATTGGCCAGAATGTTGCTGTTCTCATTCGGGGCCAACATCGTCCAACATTTTTCTTTCGTCTTAGAAGATAAAAATACAGATTTTATTGGCGATTGCGGTATCACTCTCACTCCCAAATCTCACAAGATAATCTTTACTAAAACAAATATTGTTGTGAAATCCAATGTCGTATCTGAATGAGCATTCTTTGTTTCTCTTGATAACATATCAACAAAATCAATTTTATATCTATCGATTTATGTTGATTGCATTTGCACTCGGCATGTCTATCTATAAGTACCTATATCTTAGAATCAACTGTTTTATCCAAAATGAATATGTAAATATATATTGTCTCATGAGTGCAATGAATAAATAAAAAAGATTCAAATGCACTTGTTACTTGTTATTATTTATTGTGCTGTACAGGGTGTTTCCAATATTGAAACAGTAAATAGAGTAAGTTATATTGAAGACGAATAACATGACGAAATGAATGTATGTTCCTTCTAATATATAGTTGCAATACACATTCTCTTGTTATTGTAAATATGATGTCCGGAGTGTTAATTAATGTTTTGAAAATATTTGATTACATGAAAAAATCTATTGAATGTTCGTCATTTGGTGTATTCTAAGTAGCTAGTTGTTTGCTGTTGGATGAGTATGACAACAATGATTTTGAATAATAATATATATCTTCATCTCTGATTTTCCTATCATAATAAACACTCCGAATTCCAAAATCAAAGATGTTTTGATGTATTGTCTGCAACTTATTTCTTCTCAAAATTCAGAGAATTTAAATTTTTTTTATATCGCTTGGTGCGCACAAAAGGGAATCCCTATAATGTTCTTAGAACATCGTGCATACCTAAGGAACATACCGAGAGGAGGTAGGTGTTGCATTTTTTTCAATTTTTGGAGATTATAAGTTCTTGGAAATAGTTTCTCAGGCAATGAATTCCCATTCTATAGGGAAACGAGTTTTGATATAGTGCTGTTCGACATATTTCGAGGTTGTCAAGTTCGTCTGGCTGGTATTGCTAGTCGTGGAATGATAACAGAGATTTCTGAAGAACATTTTCCGTGGAAGTATCTATAAAAAAGTGGAAGGTAGCCGACCTCTCTAAGGTGTTCCGATGATTTCAAAGTGTTAGTGAGTGTGGTATCACCCACCAGGCGAATGGCTCTTCACTGGATGGAATTTGAGAGCATCAGAGTATGTTTGGGTACTGAACTCCATATGTGAAAACAGTATTCTAGACCAGGTCGTATCAAATAAATTGAAATATACACTAAGTCGAAATTGAGTTCCGAGTGTATCTGAGAAACATATTTCTACATTTTTCGGCATTTCTTTTCATTTCAATGTCGAAAATAGGAACATTTTTGTTTCTTAAGCTTCCAGAGATAAGTGAAATTCAATATAATATTTTTCGATATATCTATTTTTCCTCAAATATTTTCCGAACAGCATCAAATCCACCTTTCTGATTTGTCCTTATTACAATAAGTATATTGAAAAAATACTACTCAATATTTTTATTCACAAAGACGAGGGAAGAGAAGCCCCAAAAAATTTTGGAAATGATTATTCTTCCACCTCGTTCATCTCAGAGACTGTATTTTAGAAAATTCAGTTTTGATAAACAGCACGAACATGTTCATGAAAAAGGAACGAAAGAGGATAAAACTCATAGATAATAATTGAATAATGCTTTATTCAGGATTCTTTTTAATAACATTAAATAACAAAATATTTATAATACTCGCCACTCTCGCAAGTAGTAGGTACTAAAATAGCAATATTTACAAAACTATTCCTAAATGAAAATGAAAAATGTCACTATTTATTTAACAATGAAAATGGTAAAATCGCATGCATTCATTTATGCATTCGGTAATTCACTGGTTGAAATAAAAGGTAACATTAACACGAAAGTCACTCCAAACCCTCGGTAAAATAAAATATCATGACTCAAACATCAATATTACATAAAATTACATAAAACATGGTATAAAAATAAGTCAAAATGGTAAAAAACAGCTCGTTTGGAGCAACGAATGATGAAATGATTGACTAGCTCATCGTTATCTAATACTAAGGATGATATTGAACACTTTGATGCACAGCCGAACCAAATCGGAGACCCGAAAAGGCATTTGCGGTGTATAAGTACTGTGCCTCCTCTCAACAAAAATCAGGAAACAAACTTGAACCGTGCTCTCCACCAACAGTCCGACGCCAATCCAATGTGAAAGGCCCCACGAAGTAATGAATAATGTATCCACCAGCTTCGAACATTTTCTTTGTACTATACAATCGCCTCAGACCAAACTGGGACAGTAAGTGCCTGCCTTGGATCGGAGCTCCACCTTGTATAATTTAGCACCAGTGTAGATCGGTTGGTGACTGCCCTGGGACGGAGGCTAGCCCTGAGCGGATCGTAACCGGTGAAAAACTGCTAAAAGGCCTAAGGCAAGCGTTGGTCCATTGACTTGAACCACAACCCCTTCCTGAACGCTTCAGGCTAATAGCAACTGGTTAGTGACTGCCCTGAGCGGTTGGTGACTGGTCGGAGAATACCCGGGTGCCTAAGACAAGCGTCCTTCGGTTGCCCTGAACCAGAGCCACTCCATGAACGCTTGAGGCCAATGGCAACGGGTTATTGACTGCCCTGAGCAGTTGGTGACAGGTTGAAGACTGCCTCAGGCAAGCATCCGCCCTTTGTCCTAAACCGGAACGCTTCTGGACCAATGGCCACCAGTTGGTGACTGCTCGGAGTGGTCAGAGACTGCCCGGATATCTAAGGCAAGCTTTTTTCGTTGTCCTGAGCTACTTCATGAATGCTTGAGGCTAATGGCAACGGGTTATTGACTGCCCTCAGCAGCTGGACCAATGGCCACCAGTTGGTAACTGCTCGGAGTGGTCAGAGACTGCCAGGATGTCTAAGGCAAGCTTCTTTTCGTTGCCCTGAGCTACTTCATGAATGCTTGAGGCCAATAGCAACGGGTTACTGACTGCCCTGAGCAGTTGGTGACCAGTTGAAGACTGCCTCCGGCAAGCATCCGCCGTTGCCCTGAACCAGAACGCTTCTGGACTAATGGCAACCAGTTAGTGACTGCTCTGAGCGGTTGGGGACTGCCCAGATGTCTGAGGCAAGCATCCTTTCGTTGGCCTGAACCGGAACGCTTCAGGATCAATGACGGCCGGTTAGTGGCTGCCCGCTGGCCTCAGGCTCGGGTCCACGTGATCCCACTCCATCGCCCTGGCTTGGAGGCTCACCCTAAAGGGCTTAGGGCTGATGGTGACGCCTGCGACACCCTTGAGACTGGGCAGGGTGCTGTTCGCTGGCACGGAGATGTCGAAGCTGTGCAGGAACGAGGAGAAGAACATGAAAAGTTCCATCCTGGCCAAAACTTCGCCCAGGCACATCCGCCTGCCCACGCCGAAGGGTAGGAAGTATTCGGGCTTGGTGACTTTGCCCTCGGAGTTGATAAATCTGGAGGGGTTGAATTTTTCCGGGTCGGTCCAGAGGGTGGGGTCCATGTGGACTGCGTGGAGGAGGGGGACGACTTGGGCGTTTTGGGGTAGATGGAAGCCGTTGAGTTTGACGTCTCTGCAATAAAAATATTGATTATTAGATTTTGTACAAATATTGTCTCATAATATTAGTTTCAAGAATATCTTAGTTAAGAATTATCTTAACATGAGTGTTGATAGTGAAAAAATCAAATCAAATTCAATAGAAATAGTTCAACAAGATGTTATATGAATAAAAAGAACATTTATGAATATTTACATGTACAGGGTCTTCCACGAATTTTATAATCTCCAAAAGCAAAAAAAGCCGATATCTACCTTTTTCTATCTTCCCTAGGTACGCACGATAATCTCCGTACATCATAGTGGTTCCCTTTTGTGTGCCCCAAGAGATAAAAAAATATATAAAGTGTGTTTCATTTCGAAGGGTCTCTTCCCTCTATACCTCAGCTCATAGTCGTGCGATCTTCACCAAATTTAGACCGGTATGGATAACCATCAATATGATCATCTTTTCAGAGACGAACATAATTCTAGACAGTGCCGTGCGTTTTTATTATAATGAATGGGGTAAATTTCGTATGAAATCATATAAGGAATTTTTCACATCAGCAAAACTGACATCATAATATAGTTGTTTGTGATTTCAAACCTCCTTATGTGAATTTGTATTTGATTCCTATGCTGGGTTTTGAAGAAACAGGCACATATGAACAGCATTTTTATGCACATAATAATTATTTACTCGGAAACGGTGAGTTCAACATGAAATAGTATTTCTTGTTTTTTTATATATCATGATTTTCTACCTACCAGAGCTTTTGAACATAACAAAATCTGAAGTTGATTTCAGTTTTTTCGAGGCTGGAAATGAAAAAAATTAAGCCAATCCTGTTAATTCTGACTGAGGTGATTATTGCAAAAGGGCGGTTTGAAAGCATGAGTATCAATAATATGAATTATTTTTCTTGCAGAAAAAAATCGACCCCATTTTATTTCAATAAAACAGCACGGCATCGTCCAAAAAGATCTCTCTAGAAAACTGATGTTTATTCATATACCGATCCAAATTTGGTACAAATCACACGACTAATAGATGAGATATAGAGGAAGGACTGTTTTGAGTGAGACACGCTGTATATGCGAAGCCACTGAGACCTCGATTGGGACTAGTTTTCTGAAATTTTTATACGATGGTATTTCAAAGTGCTCCTATCAACTAGAATATTTTCAGTTCTCTGCAACATCTGGTCATCTCGGAAACGGACCTCAACTTCGTTATTATGAATGGAATGTATTATTCTTCATTAAATTTTTTGAATCTACGCTGAAATTCGTTGTTATTTCATTCAGAACCGAGTTCAGAACATCTAATATGTCAGGAGTACGCCTGAGTTATTCAAGATTATTCGGAATTATTATTTTAGAAATCCTAGCTATATTGCCAGGATGTACAAACAGCTAAATCGACAAAAATTTCCGGATATATATTTTTCTATTCACGAGTGGATTCTGCGCTGAAAATTGAGGGGACTGAAAGTTCAAATCACAAATGAACAGTTTTCGCATGTATGGGGTTCGTTCTCTCATTTTGCAATGTCTCTTTGATGGTCGAAGTGTCATTAATGCATGAACAGAATTTTTTATGTTGACCGAAGTTCAATGATTTCTGAACGTTGTTATAACAGCCTGTCAAGTTTTTCCAAACAACAATAAGAGAAATATTGATTTAAAACCGTCCTATATTTATGAAGACGGTTTGAATCGCCTTGAGCTATAATATTATTGTTAGTTTTGGCGAAGGCGTCATATTTAGCTACAAGTAATAATCATTTTTTGACAAAGACAAAAATTAATGATGTTTTATAATCAAATTCTCTGAAATCGAGTTAAATTGTTCATGCTGAAACGTATACTATGGACTAAAAATTGATCACATTAATAGATGCGCATTCGCCATAATCTATCATTTAGTTAGGAATTGAAAATTCGGGAATATTCACATGAATCTATAGTTTTCCCTATCGCCTGTTCGAGATATAATTTCAGATCATGAAAATCATTTCCATCAAATTAAAGAATGGATTATTGTTCATTACAGCTTTCTCACCTTCCTATTTAAAATGTTCGATCATTGATTTAGATTTCTTCTATATAGTTCAGTTTTTAGTTAAGTTGATTGTATGAAGAGTGAATGCAGAATAAAAAAAAAATCAAGCCTGAAATTCTTCTGTTTTCGATTGGCCACCCTGTATGGAAATTACACCGGAACTTATGCACCTGTAGACGTCAGAGTTCGCTCTGGTTTTATTAGATTGTTCATGTTCATAAGGAAAGCTTCTCAATGTTTCGTGAAATAGTCTACCAAAATACCACTTCGATCTGAATATCTTATTATCTTCTAATAATTATATTTCTCATTTGGTTGAAAAGTACATACATACCTAGCAAGGACGAATTATTATTTATAAAGATTAAGTAATCTGATGATTGCTTCAAATCTACAAAAGTGTTCATTGGTAAACATCGATGAAACATGCAATCAAAATTGACAATTACTATAGGGATCGCCAGAAGAAAAAACTACCAATTTAGGTATTAACTGAAACCATCTGAAACGTAAACTGTTGACTTAAAATTGATTACATCAATAGATGCGCATTCGCCATAATCTATCATTTAGTTAGAAATTAAAAATTCAGGAATATTCAAGTAATAAATAGTGAATTTATAAATAAATATATAATTTCAGATCGAGAAAATAATTTCCATCAAATTAAAGAATGGATTATTGTTCACCACAGCTTTCCCACCTCCCTATTTAAAATGTTCGATCATTAATTTAGATTTCTCCTGAGTCAGTTTTTAGTAAAGTTGATTCTATGAAAATGCAGGATGAAAACAATTTGTTCAAGCCTGAAATTCTTCTGTTTTCGATTGGCCACCGGTACTTATGCAAGCAGCACTTTCAGAAAGCCAGATGAATCCAGTCTTGTGTCGGAGATTAAGTATAGTATGTGACTTGTTCATAAATTCTTGTAGACTCAGCGTTCAAGTGTAAGAACTGGTGAACAGAGGGTCGCTTATGTAAAACTTGTAGACATATACCATTGGGTAATGGACATTCGCAAAATTTATCAGTCGGTCGCAGTTCATTAACTAACTCATGCCGAATTACATAAGAGTGCGTATATTGAACTTACGTATTACATAAACGTAACGTTTAAGTATTGTCTTTTATTCACCAGTCGTTTTGCGTGCTTGTTACGAAATATTTAAGAAATCGTCTGAATTGAATGACCAGAGTTCATCGACCGAAAAATATGGATTATTTTTAGGCTGATGGCTTTCACTTTTTTGCAGAGGCGAATTTTATAAATTATGCTTCACGACTGAAACCGGCATGTGAAATTGATATATTATTATAGGTTCCCGATATTCAAATTGATATAGCGTCACTATTTCACTCAACTTGAAATTCTCACATCAAGAACCTGAGAGAACATAAACATTCCCTGATAATAAATTCCGGACATACATTTTTCAAATCAATTTCAGTCGCCCATGATTTTTTCATTTGTTTTCTGATTTCCTAAAATTTCCAACAGAACATGGCAATCAGAATCGGAATGTTGTATCCACAATTTAAGTTGTCGAAACTGATGACTCGACTATAGTATACAGGAAAAAACTAAAGGTATATTTTTTACCCTCGAATGCTTAACACCCTACAGAAGAATAATTGAGCTACCAAATTTTGTTTCATCATGTTTTGATATGAAGCGTGACCTTTTCTTAACAACATTTTCTGATTCACGTTGATATCTACTTTGTCAGAGAAGATGCGAATTTGAAAAAAAAAATGTTGCAGTTTTTAAACTGCATCAAAACAATGTCTTTGAATATTTGTATATTCTCCTACAAAGCAGATATTGACGAGAATCGAAGAATATTTTGTTAAGTTTATATTGAAACATGATGAAATTGAATTTTGCCGGTCCAATTATACAGGGTGGGTCACGGTCGATGGTACCTCAGATGTTTACGGGGAACGGAACATTCTGAAGAATACTCAAGAAGTTGCTCTTGATCTAGCGATTTGCAATATGCAATGTAGCGTTGCCGCTTATACCAGAAAGTAGTAGCAACTTTGATATTTCGAACAGAACACCCTACATATATTTCATTGCACTTTCTCCTTAAAGAGTTGGTTTCATCAATACATCACACTTGGGGTCTAGCGAGAATGATTACAGAGATATAGGGTGTTCAAAGTTTAGATTTTTCAACTTAAGAATTCATTTATGTCGAAACTATTCATTATCGGTCAAAACGACTTTCATGTTCCCATCTCAACTTCTGATTTACTATCTACTGACATTCATATGGAACAGATACAGAGTGATTAGAATTCTGAATCTTGAACCAACCTGTATTTGTTACAATTGAATGTCAGTAGATAGTGAATACAAAAATCTCGATTTTGAACACCCTATATATCTGTATCTATTCTCGCTAGGGTACAGGTACAGGGTGTTTCATTTGAAATATCAAAGTTGCTACTACTTTCTGATATAAGCGGCAACGCTGCATTGCTGAAATTATAGATGGATAGAGCAAGAGCAACTACTTGGGTGACCAAATTATATAATTATATATATAAAAACAAAAATGTCTATAATCTGCTAAAAATCTGACCAAATCAGAAAACAATTGAAAAAGTTATTCATTGTCCGAGAAATTGATTATGATTCCGATAGTGCTGCTGATTTCTGACATTTTGCACCTTTGTAGCTAACCGTACAATACGAAATGTCCATTACGCTTGAAAATATGGTCATTTTTCATTGGATCTAATCATGTATGACAACGCAAAGTTTGACAGTTCAACAAGAAATTATTGAAGCTTTAGACGTCAGAGTGAGTCGCTCTGGTTTTATTAGATTATTTATGTTCATAAGGAATGCTTCTCAATGTTTCGTGAAATAGTCTTTCAAAATACCACTTGGATCTGAATATCTTCTAATAATTATGTCTCTCATTTTATTGAAAAGTACATTATACCTATTTCGAAGTACATACATACATAGCAAGGGCGAATTAGGACAAAGAAACCGAAAAAAATAAATTGAAATGGAAGAATATGTTTTTCAGGAAAAATAATATATTGAACCCCAAACTCTGTCTGTCAGAAACTTTTGTGAATCATCGATCAGAGGTGAATGGCTGCGCCAGAGCGTTTGCTTCTAGTGAGAACAGATGCACCAAATTTATCAATGACGTTTGCATTGATGTTGAGTGCGCACTTTTTTCAATAAAAAAATGTGTTTCATGCCCAAATTTTTAGAACACCCTGTATACCTTTTTATATGTTGTATTGTGGAAAATAATCGTGGGAAAAAATTAACACGTTCTGAAGGATTCCCAAAAGTTACAATTTTGTCAAGATAATAATTTGATAGCTATCATACCAGATTTCTTCTTATATTCATTGAATCTCCTGTAAACCTCTAGTTTCTAGATTATGGAAAGATAGAAATTGTTGAACTCAAAAAGTTGTAGTATATCCGAAACTGATTATCAAACTACCGATGGTGTCGTCGAATCTAATTTTCAATCGTAGTATAAATTCACCTTGAACATTTACGTAATGTATATAGTGATGTGGGAGGTTATCAAGATTAATTATCGAATAGTCATTTATTTTGAAATACATCAATTATTCACTCAGTTGATCAGCAAACGATATCAAATATTCAAGAATAAAAAGTCTCAATTAATATGCATGATCTGTTGGATGAATCGCGAGCTTGATGAATGCTATCCTAGTTTTAAAGTTTTAAAGACTTATTGAGTAATAATTGATAATAATAATATTGTTATTCAGATTGAAACTCACCTAATTGGAGCATGAGTGGTTCCCATTGGCACAATACTCGATATCCTCAGGACTTCATAAATAGTGGATTCGGTAACTGGTAAATAGGACATATCTTCTAGTTTAGGTAACCTCTGACGACCAACAACTTGGTCTAACTCTTCTTGCACAGCTCTCATCTTATCAGGATGATGAAGCATAAACAAAACCGCCCATTGGAGTGAACTCTTGATTGTTTCCATACCAGCGGAAAATAAGTCACCCATGATTTGTTGCATTTGGCGATCTGAAATCAAAAACAAATATTGATCAAACAGTCCTCATACATTTTTAGGTAGAAAGTTTATTTAGGCCGAGTTAGGTTAGATTGTTCAGAAAAGTAGCAAGAGCAGATTCTTCGACCAAAAATAGTGAGAAAAGTGATGAACTGATACAATCTGGTACAAGAAATTAACCTTTTTATGCCCAATGCAGTAAAAATGATATCATTTAAAAAATTCATCCAGGAGTGTTTAACACAGGGGAGATTGAAATATCGAAAAATATGCATATAGAGAAGTTAGAGCAATATTTAATGTAGTCCCACCCTGTCTCAAACACTTCTGATTGAAATTTTGAAATGATATCATTTTCACTGCATTAGGCATAAAAAGATTCGTTCCGGAAATATTAAGGAAATATCATCTTCAGGATCTCCTCCTCAGGAGCCACTTCACAAATTATGTTTATTGAAACTTTTCTTCCCATTTTTGGTCGAAGAATTCGCTACAAAAGTTTGGGAGGGTAATTTCGGGACACCCTGTATATTGAATTTTGAGTAAGTGTAGGTATAGTTCAATGAAGACTCACCATGATCTTTGCCTTCAAATAAATGATGTCCATTTCCTTCTTCATCTGCCTTCTGGATTTCATACAAATAAGTATCTAAAAGATCCCTCATGTGACTCGGATCGAAGGTTTCTTTATGCTCGTCAATTGTTTCTTGAAAGAATCGCGCCATTTCGCTACGATTCTGAAAAAAAAACATCAGCATAAATACCAACGAATACCAAACCACCAAGACGATATAAAAATTGTGATGAAGAGTGAATGTAACTGACCTTCGAGATTTTCTGACGAGTCGAGTTATGTCCAGGCAAATATTTGAGTATGGGGATGAAAAGGGTAGCTTCCAGCGACCCGAACAATCTGAAGCCCTCATCGATCAGATTCATGAAACGAATGAATCTAGTGTCGTTGTGAGAGAATCGAACTGACATGATGACATCGCAGATGACATTGGAAATTGATACGGCGAACACGGGATTCAGGTCCACAGGTTCTTCCACTCGAGCTTTGAGGACCATGAGGAATTCCTCCACTTCAGTCATTATTCTACTCTCCATTTGGGTCTTTCTCGAACTGAGATAAGACATTCCAAAATGCCGAAGGCCATCGTGCAAGAATCTGCGTTGGTCTTTCCACAGTTTACCGGCAATGTTGATAACACCTATAATGAAAATCAGGAAGTGATAATGCGTGTTTTTCGTAAGGAAGTTAATTCGATCAGATGATAAGTAGAGAACGTGCTGAAACGTTCAGTTATTAAATGAAGGAGGTGTTGTTGGGTAATTCGATATTGAAATACATTACGAAATTCAGACTGGTCTTGACTTATACATTTTGAAGTATCAAGAACACAGGAATGCGTCAATTAATACGCGAGTATAGATCTATTCTTTTGATTTTTCTCAATAGCCATCAACGATCTGGGTTAAAATTGATAACGTATCAATGGCAGATAATAAAAACGATCACTTTTACTAGAGATGTGACCTGTGAAGGCCACCACAAAGTATGTCAATAATATACCAGTCGTATTTATAGAATCGCGCGAACTGGACAAAAATTTCACAAAACAAAAAACTCACCATAACCTCCAAGGATGTTGGTGAACTCGGTGTCAGGCCTGCCGGTGAAATCTTCCTTCCGAAAAGTGTCTCTAATCATTTTGTAATCACTTAAAACCACTATCAACTGGGACCCCAATCTGGTAGAAATCATCGACCCGTACTTGTGGGTGAGGTCTCGGTAATGCAGGTGAAGGTCTCCCTTCAGGAAAGGTAACGAACCCAAAATTGGTAGCCCCCAGGGTCCTGGAGGCAGGGTAAGTGCCTCCCTGAGCAACTGCAAACCGCGAACTAAGAACAGAACCAGAGAGAAAACTAGAAGAACGTTTGTCGAATATTCTCGCACTGCGAAGTTCCAAATAATTAAAGTACTGTATGCAAACATTGTTGTGTATTGTTAGGATTACGTCGAAACTTTGAAACGCGTATTGCTAAACATTTAATTTCAAGAGGTGCACACTATCTATAGAAGTGTCATTGTAAGCAATGCTTTTATATATCAGTCTACTACTTACTTAAGACGACGTAGTGGGGAGGATCTTGGAGGAGGAGCGACATTCTTGGTCCAATCAGCATTGGGTTTGGATCCCTTCTTTTCACTATTATCGGGATGCACTTCATTCATCTATCTCTTCAGTTGGTTCTCAGATGAGCGTGAGGCATATTCGCTTCCTTTTGGTTTCGATGCCAAGAAGTTCGTTGAATAGACGATGTTTTCAAGTTCAAGTTCAGCTTCTGCTTATTGCTGAGGTTTTGTTGTACCGTTTCAAATGGTACCGATTTATCTTCGTCTGAAAGTTTTACGATGATCAATCCATCAAATAGTAATGTTGAGTTGATTGAGTTCATGGAAAAGGAATACTTACCGACAGTGATGATGATTGCGAAGTAAAAATTGTTTTTCCTACATCGAGCGCTCAGAGCGCTCCATAATGGAGCCTATAATGAAATTATCTGGACAAGCTCTGCTTGTTTAAAACTAGAAACTCACGTTTTTGAATTGTTTGATATGAATTATCTTTACAACCGAACATTGTTCGTTGAAATTATGGTTCATCCATATTCCATCTAGAAGATATTTTTCTTACATTGGAAGACTGATTGATTGAATTTGTTTCTTGGTGTTTTCTGATGAGAATTTTGAGTTTTAGGGAGCAAATATCTACAAGCAACTGAGCTAATTTTAGCATGACTTTGCCAATCGATGAAACACCTTATTATGAGAATGGAGTTTTTCGAGTCCTGAATAATTGAATATCGCAACTGTCATTTTTTCAAGGTTGACAAAAAACTGAGCTGCTATTGAAGTTTTCACCGTTATACCTATATATAGGTATAGATAGAAACGTATAATATGTATATTCCATCTCACAGCAGTCTTGTATACACGCGCAAGTGAAAATATATGGATTGTCCATGTCTCTATAGATTATAGGGATTTTCTCTCCTCGTCTCCACTACCTATATAAATGAAAATATTAGTAGCTATTTTTTTCAAATGTACCTACCTACCTGTGATAAGGACAAATCAGATTATTCGCCCCAAAATCTCAATGCTCTTGAAATTTCACTAATAGCATGGAAAAATTCGATCGATAGTCGGTGACATCATGTTTGAATGTTTGAAGAAAAAACCTTATGGGAAAATTGAAAAATAATAATTTTCACTTCTCGTTTTGGTAGGGGAAATGTGCCTATGATGTGCCACTGCCTATGATGGCCCGCTACCAGTATATTTTCAAATATCTCGCTACTAGTCGATTGCTACTACTTTTCAAAAGCTTTCAACTCATATTAGTGATTTCACGAAATGAAATCCAAATCAGTGTATTGATAAAATTATAAGAGAACTGTTCTCATTTCTTGTACTTCACTCTCATAGTGAAATGAATATGACACCTGTAGTCTATGTGTGAGGTGGAAATCCACAATGTGAATCTGTTGTTGTCTTCAAATATATTCTAGTGTAAATAGAACAAATGTCTTTTTATTCAAAGTATCAAGCAATATGTTTGCCATCATGGGCATATACAGGGTATGTGACGACGAGCTTACACTATTTTCATATCGAGAATCAGTCGAAAGAAATCCATGAAAATATGCATGCATATATTTTAGGATACGCTCTCTTCTTTTATAGTTATTTGTTTAACTAGGCAGCAAAGTAGTAGATTGACTGCCGAGGCTGAATTCATAGCCGAGCGTAGCGAGGATAGGAATCCAGCTAAGGCAGTCAATCTACTTTGCTGCCGAGTTGAACATATAATTTTTTCTCCGATTGTTCATAATGATATATATCTTTATTTTTCCGGTAGTGTTCAATTAAAATAAAATTTGATAGAAATCGCAGTTGTGGGAATGGTTGGTTGCTATGGAAATGTCCATAATAATTATAGTTTGACAATTCATGAAATTTCTGACAATTGTGCGAAAAAATATCTATATTCAAATTATTATATAATGGACAGTGATAGCGACCTGGAAGTACTTACACCTCCAGAAATAAGGGAGGTGGCAAAAAATATAGAGTTGAATTTGTTGCCGGAGAAGTCTCGGATGAAATATGAAGGAAATTATAAACGATTTATGGATTATTAATTTTGCTGATACATATCAATCAGAAAAGTGCCCACTTTGCTGCCTAGGCAGGAAAAGTAATACTTTGCTGATTGATATGTGTCAGCAAAATTAATATTTGCTGCCACTTGGAGGAAAAAATATTTTCAGCAATGCAGTGTTGTCGCTTCTATCAAAAAGTAGCAACAACTTTGTTATTTCAAACATAATAATCTGTATTTTATAGTATTTTTAGATTCTCTCATCGATACATCACTTGGAATTGATCAGAAATGATTACAGAGATATAGGATTTGTTTGTATCGAAACTATTCCTTATGGGCTCAAACGGCTCACATGTCCCTTTCTCAACTCTTGATTTACTATTTACTGATATTCAATCGGAACAGAAACAGGGTGATCAGAATTCTGAATCTTGAACGATCACCCAGTGTTGATCATCTTTTGAGAGTTGAACAAATAAATTGTAAACCAAACAGATCAAAATGAGTGGAATGTTTCATTTCTCGATTTCTTATCTTTCGGAGCGCACGAAAGGAATTCGCTATTGAGTTCGCGAAACTTAGTGTGTTCCCTGGGAGGATAGGGAGAGAAGGTACCTGGGTATTGGAAGTTTTTTCGAATTTTTCTAGGTTATATTACAAAGGAGTGCACAAAAGTCGGTCAGTGCTCTATCTTCTGAATCATTCGAGATCCAGATCTTGAAAATGGTTGGTTAGCGAGTATACCAAATTGCTCATGAATTGACAAAACAATGTTTGTTCTATCACTTCCGGTTTTACTAGAATTGACCCCAATTTTTGATTTTCAAATGGGACACCCGTATGTTATTCCATAATCGATTAGGGATTACTATGACGAATTCTTATAAGTTATAGAACCGACAAGGAATTTCGAGGCTTTTCCGATCTATAGAGAAACGAGTTCTGGTATAGAGTTGTTCGACATATTTTGGGGTTGACGATAGAAGAGTGTGCTGATTGAGCTTGTCGACTGAATAATATGCAGATATTTTTTAATAATAGTAGAAAAATCATTATAACTCCCAATACTTCCATCATTAGTAATAATTTCACCATCAGCACTATACAATTTTGAGTGTTGGTCGTTCACTTATACAGGTATGGGACTCCCATACCTGTATAAGTGAACGACCAACACTTATGGGACACCCATATCTATAAACTTGTCATTCGATTCATATTTGTTTGAAGAAATAAATAATTATAATATGGAAATTATTAAAAATTGCCGTTGTGATAAACGACCAATGAACTTAATTTCACTTTTTTAACAACTTGAATACCCGAGTGAATACCTCAAAACCTTTGTTATTCGTTTTTATAGAGTGATAAACAGCTCACAAACTCACAACAAACTAATAATGAGTGTTTTTCATTTCATTTAAACGCAACAGGTATCTAAACATTGCAGTTGACATAATAGTTACAACATGTCATAACCTTGACGATAGAACCAGTCAAGGAAGTCAAATAATGCATTTCTGGGTATAAATCATCGCACTATAATCATGTTTATTATTAAATCTGCGTGGAAAATTTCATTACGTTCTTCTGAATCTGATGCACACAGAATACGCAAATATTTTGGGTTGAGATTCAAAGAGCATTCATAATTAAATGATATAAATTCGTCAAATTTTCCATTCGAAGAAGTTATCAATTATCAGTGCTGGTGCTCGAGGGATATCTCATAAGAAAGAGAATAATTCCAGTGACGGACTGGCCCATCGCGGGAAATCCTGAATTATATCATATTGACAAAGATAGTTACTCGACTTATTTTAGTACTAAATGTTTCTATACAAACGTATCTCCTTATTTGATTCTTATTCAAGATAACTTGATACAAAATGCAAAGTTTCATTCAATTAATTCAAAAATATTTCAATTTGAAATGTTAATAACATTTGGTCAACCGTATTTTCAGTGGCACAGTTAGGAAAAAGTTATTTATTATACAAGGGAAAAAAGTTGTAGATTTTAGCACCAGGTTGTGTTGACGCGCAGCGGAGGGAGACAAAAAACCGTGAGCTAAAATCTGATATTTTTCCCGTGTATAATACACTATTTCTTTCTGTGACAGAAGAAAGGACGAATCAATATTGAGAAGATATGACATTCTGAAAATTATCGACGTGAAATTTTAAGTTTTGAAGTAGGGACACCTGCGTTGTAGACATCTTTATCATTCTTTTGAAGTGATCAAATATCTGATGTCACTTCTGTCAGTCTAATTCTGTGATTTGATTTAAAAAATTGCGAATTTAGTGGTTGTTTAGTAATATACGTAACCGCGAAGTCGAATGGAAGATAAAAGAACTTGCAGTTCTTTCTCGGAGACGGTATTATTGATTCATTTTTCTGAATTATAGCACAACAAAAGCCATCAACAGTGTATATATATGTGATATATATCTGGGAAAAAATTACTCACTTTTTTCCCACGGGAAAATAGTAATTTTTGAAAAGTGACATTTTATAACCTGCCAACAGAGATGAAATGCCAAACTTTTTTCCCGTCACAGAATAGTTATTTGTTTAACTAGGCAGCAAAGTAGTAGATTGACTGCCGAGGCTGAATTCATAGCCGAGCGTAGCGAGGCTAGGAATCCAGCTATGGCAGTCAATCTGCTTTGCTGCCGAGTTGAACATATAATTTTTTCTCCGATTGTTCATAATGATATATATCTCTTTATTTTTCCAGTAGTGTTCAATTAAACTAAGATTTGATAGAAATCGCAGTTGTTGGAATGGTTGGTTGGAACCTGGACCTGGAAGTACCCATACCTCCAGAAAAAAGGGAGGTGGCAAAAAATATAGTTGAATTTGATGCCGGAGAAGTCTCGGATGAAATATGAAGGAAATTATAAACGATTTATGGATTATTAATTTTGCTAATACATATCAATCAGCAAAGTACCAACTTTGCTGCCTAGGCAGGAAAAGTAGTACTTTGCTGATTGATATGTGTCAGCAAAATTATTATTTGCTGCCAATCGGAGAAAAAAAATATTATTATTA